GTGCATAAACTTTTTAGAATATGGGCCATAACTCAAGAACCCCTTGGCCAATTATTGTCAAATTTGTCACATGGTATCCTTGGCCTAAGGGCTCCCGTTTATACTAAAACTAGAGTTGTGACCCTTAAACAAGGGGAGATAATTAGGAAAATAGAAACAAAAGTACTGGTTGCTAAAAAATCTTCTCAAGAACCACTGAGCAGATTATCACCAAACTTACACAAAAGGATGAGGATATGTTGTAGATAAAAATTTGCACGGAAATTTACCCTGGGGCAAAGGGCATGGTCTCAAGGTCACTTCAAAGTTGACCAAAAATTATATTTTATTAAAATGTTGATATTTTGCTTACTATAAGGACTAGGATCATCAAATCTTGTCAGTTTATGCATCTAAGGACCTCATATCATGTTGACTCAAAAGTAGGTCACGGTGACCTACTTTTTAAATTTTGCGGCCATTCTTTTTCAAAATGATTTAGAGGCATATTTTAAACAATATAAGAATAACAATATTCATTTGAATTTGGATTTTATATATATATACAGGGTTCTCCATGGGCTGTTTAACGTGGCGGCCCCGCCACAGTTAAATTCTCTAGCGCCACAGTTAAAAAATCAGTGCCACAGTTCCACCACAGTTAAAATATAAGAGCCACAGTAAGATTGTCGTCGTCAGTAAGATAAATATATAAATTTATTAATCAAATAAACCTCTTAATTATGCACCATAAAGGCGTGTTTCAGCTGTTAAAAAAATGTGCTCTAATTATAGAATCCACTGTTTGGCTTTTACAATTGATTATCTTCCAGACCTCGCTAGACACATGAATGAAAAGCGACAAGCTATTTTTTTCACAATTCATGATAATTAGAACTGAATTTTAAAATACCAGTTAATTAATTGCTTTAACAGTTTTACAGATAACTATATGTAAGTTTCTAAAATTGCATTAGCAATATGAAGTCAAAACATCGTACTAGTATTGATCGTAAATATTCATGTATTTTTGTAATGTTGAAATATTAACAAATAATGAATACATCCACAAAATATAATTTGACGACATTAAACTCTTTTTTTTAATTATTTTGATTCACAAGTTTTAAGATACCACAGACTGATAATTGCAAATATACAGACTAGATGTAAATATGACTGGTGACCTACCAGAATTTTGTCTGACCTTTAATGAAGAATTAAATGATGAATTAAATTAGGGTTAAATGCGAGAAAGTTGTAATTATTGTTACTATTACATTGTATTTTCAGATTCTATAAACTAATATTTGTTTATTTAAGGGGGGTGGGTCTTTTGTCACAGTATACATATATTTCGGAAACATCCTAATTTTATTTTACACTATGTTTTATTGATTAAATTTTTATTACTGAGTTTATAAATCATTTTTCCAGTTAGTTAATGCCATTATTTAATTTGTGTATTAAACTAGTGATTCATAGGAGCACTGTGTTTTTCAACTTATTTCATGGTTCCTTCGCAAATTCGGTCGCGAAATGACCGCGAATATTAGCACTTTGCGTAAGTCTTGCGCCACAGTTAAATCTAAAATGATGGAGAACCCTGATATATATATATATATATATATATATATATATATATATATATATATACACACACACACAAAGCAAAACAGCCAACTATTTCGAAGTGTATTAAGAAGATATTGCTTTTCTTTTACAAATGATAAGATAAATATAGAAATTGTAATGATTTAAATGATGTTAGATATACATTTAGTGTATATTACAGTAACTAATTAGTGTATGCATCGCGAACAAGGATGTTTAGAAGCCTGAAGAAAAACATCCGAGTAACCGGTTACTCGATTGGAAAAGTAAGCAAGTAACTGGTCACTAAAAATCATCCGATTTGACAACACTAGTTATGATAAGTTTTTAGGTCACCTGAGACACTCAGGTGACCTATTGCTATCTGTCTTTGTCCGTGTGTGCGGTGTGCATCGTGGGTTGTGTGTTAACATTTGAACATTTTTAGCTTCTTCTCTGAAACCACTTAACCAAATTTGGCATATAGCATCTATGGGTGAAGGGAAACAAAAATTGTGAATTTCATGGTCCCTGCCCCCCTGGGGCCTGAGGGGTAGGGCTAAAACCACCAAAATTAATACAATCTATAAAAATCTTCTTCTTTACTCCTGGACATTAAACAGTCAAACTGTTGGCATGATTGTAATAAGTATTGAGCCCTCTACCAAAGTTGTGAAATTCATGGCCCCAGGAGCAGGGGTTCTGGTGCTAGGGTGGGACTATGTAGATCATATAGTGAAAGTGCATTATTGCTTTGAAAATCTTCTCTACCCCTGGGTATTAAAATAACTTAGTACATAGTTATAATGCATGAGTGCCTCTTCCAGAATTGTGAATTTCATGGCCCTTGGGTCAGGGATTCTGGTGTTAAGGACTGGGCTTTATTGATTACATAGTGAAAATGCATTAATTCTTTGAAAATATTATTCTCTGCTCCTGGGTATTAAAAAAAACTAACTAAGTACATGGTTATGTTGAGCAAGAGTGGTTCTTCCAAAATTGCGAATTTCATGGCCCCAGGATCAGGGGATCTGGTGTTAGGGCGGGGCTCTATTAATTATATAGTGAAAATGCATTAATTCTTTGAAAATATTCTTCTCTGCCCCTGGGTATTAAATAAACTAACTATGTACATGGTTATTTGAACAAGAGTGCCTCTTCCAAAATTGTGAATTTCATGGCACCAGGATCAGGGGTCCATGTGTTAGGGCGGGGCTCTATTGATTATGTAGTGAAAATGCATTAATTCTTTGAAAATCTTCTTCTCTGCTCCTGGTATTAAATAAAGTAACTAAGTACATAGTTATGATGAGCAAGAGTTCCTCTTCCAAAATTGTGAATTTCATGGCCCCAGGGTCAAGGGTTCTGGTGTTAGGGCAGGGGTCTATTGATTACATAGTGAAAATGCATTAATTCTTTGAAAATCTTTTTCTCTGCTCCTGGGTATTAAATAAACTAACTAAGTACATGGTTATGTTGCCTCTTCCAAATTTCTGATTTTCATGGAACATGGGTCAGGGGTTCAGGTGATATGGTGGGGCTCTATTGATTATATAGCAGAACTGCATTAATTCTTTGAAAATCTTCTTCTCTGCTCCTGAGTATTAAATGAACTAACTTAGTGCACAGGTATGATGAGCATGGTTGCCTCTTCCAAAATTGTGAATTTCATGGCTCCAGGATCAGGGGTTCTGGTGTTAGGGCGGGGCTCTATTGATTATTATAGTGAAAATGCATTTCTTTGAAAATCTTCTATGCTTCTGGAGATGTTCAAGGCAAACAGAGTAAAAGTTTTAATATGCAAGGGTATTTTTACCAGAATTTTGAACACCTGGACCATTTAGTCAAGTTTTCTGGTCCTTGCCAGGGTTCTATTACTTCGTATTCTGCTGAGTAAAGTTATTCCCCTTTGCCATTTACCTTTGATAATTAATCAGTGTAAATAATATATTTGAAAGCTTAATAGAATAAGAGAATGATGCAGGAATATTTATTGTATAATACAAAAAGTACTTTCATAGTTTTAATGACTTGGAAATAATAGATGAATAAAAATGAGACAAAAATAACTTATCTTTTTAAATGTTCTTCAAAGGCCAAGAGAGGCCAATGTGAGAAGAAATTGTATGGGGTTAAAAATTAGACATTTTGTTAATAGTCTGCATGGTAATAGTGATAAGGGAAGGGGGGGTGGGGGGGGCAGATAGATACCAGACCAATTATTTTGTTGATGATAATCATACTATTTTTCTTGCTTTTGGGCAACAAAGCTTCATTTATCAGTTTATGGATCCTCTAAATTGTTGTATTTTACTCAGGTGACCATTAAAGCCCTTGGGCCTCTTGTTTGCTCTACTGGTCACAGACCAGAAGAGCTTATGTGATAGTAAGATGTCCGTCGTCTGTCTGTCCCTCTGTCTGTCTGTCCTTCCATCTGTAAACATTTTCAAAAGGCTACTCCTCCTACAGTTTTGCTCTAATTTCAATGTAACTTGGCACATAAATATATCTGTTTATATGTGTTTTTGATTTCAATGAACAGTGTTGCCATGGTTACTAAAAATAGAGATTTTTTGGGAAATAATTTCAAAAATGCTACTCCTCCTACAGTTTTAGTCTGATTTCAATATAACTTGGCAAACCAGTAGACTACACTAAGATACATGATTCTGTGTATCAGTTTTTGATTTCGATGAATGGTTACTACATAAAGAAATTTCTTTGAAAACTTTCAAAATGCTACTCCTCCTACAATTTGGGTCTAATTTCAGCATAACTTGGCACACAAGTAGACTACTCTAAGATACCTAATTCTCTTTATTGGTTTTTGATTTCAATGAAGGGTGTTGCCATGGTTACTAAAAATAGAAATTTCTATGAAAACTTTCAAAATGCTACTCCTCCTACAATTTTGGTCTGATTTCAGTATAACTTGGCACACATGTAGACTACACTAAGATACATAATTCTTTTTATTAGTTTTTGATTTCCATGGATGGTGTTGCCATGGTTACTAAAAATAAAATTTTTCTCAAAATACTTTCAAATGCTACTCCTCTTACATTTTGGTCTGATTTCAATATAATTTGGCATACAAGTAGACTACACTGAGATACATAATTGTCTTTATTGTTTTATTGAAATTTCTGTAAAATTCTTTTAAAAGGCTACTCCTCCTATAGTTTAAGTCTGATTGCAATAAATCTTGCCACAAAAAAAAAGACTAAACCAAGGATCATTATTCTATTTATTGCTGTTGCAAAGTTTCAGGTCCAAGTGCTTCCTTTGTTTTAAGTACAAACCAGTAGAGCTGCAGTCTCATGAGAGACTTCTGGTAGAAGATCTAGGATTATGTTTCAAGATGGGATTAAATTAATAATGGTGGTTATGTAAATGTTTCATTAATGTTTTGTACTTCATATTTTCAGAGGGATCAGCAGTATAGTGAGACGATGTGTAGAAAAAGAAACAGGAAGAGAATTTGCTGTAAAAATCATTGATATCAGTGGGGAAAAGTCAGAAATATATGAAGCAGACCTCACCAAAAAGGATACTTTAAGGGAAATTAACATTCTTAAAATGTGTAAAGGCCATGAACATATTAGTAAGTAGAAATAAAAACATTGCTGTGATGTTATGCATTTGTTCTTGCAGTGTAAAAGTTTACCTGTAGCCATCCAATAATAATAATAAACCAGTCCAATAATATATTATTGGATGGCAGTGATAACAAAATCAGACAGTATTTAAAAAGAAAAATTGTAGAGAGAAATCAAGGTTTAAAACATCCAGAAATTAGAAAAGATATTGCAAAAGTAGCAAATCCATGAAGAAGAAAATTGAGTTTAAACCTGCCAGCTAAAGTTACACTTCCCATAGACTTTTTTTGTGAAGTGTTTTTTTTTTCAACACTGTAATTTATGAAAAAGAAGATTGAGTTTAAACCTGCCTGAGCCAAAGTAACACTTCCCATAGGTTTTTTTCTTGAAGTGTTTTTTTTTTCAACACTGTAGTTTAAGTCCTTTGATAAAGAATCTGTGAATCTTCAATTGACAAAGTTTGTTTGCAGCCACTGGCTGCACTTTTAAAAAACCTGAGATTTTCATTATATCATCCAAATGAAATTTCAAATAAAAACCCACATTTTTACTTTCCATGATGATCTGTGTCTTTGTCAAAGTCAGATGCACTTTATCAAAAAAAAAGTTTAAGATTTCCTCACCACCTGACTACTGTCCATAATTCCTACTAAACTAAACAAGAAATTACAGAAATTACTTTGCAGAGCTCTTAACCAATTTTACACATCTTGAAGTATGTTATAGTGCCAATGTATCAAATTTCTTGATCTTGAAAATGAAATTTAAAGATGTTTTTTGACCTTGTTCCAGGGTCATGAAACTTAAGGGAGCTGATTGGGGTTTTATTGTGTGAAAACTACAATAGAGAATTCAATAGAGAAATTCTTTATTTTTATACCATATGTAACTTACATTGACTTAAGTGTACATGCCAAGTTTAGGGAAAAATCCACCATCAACGTATTTTTGTAGGGACCGTCTCAAAATACAAATACATTCACTATAGGATTAAATAGGGAAGTGCCAATTTTTCGCACTTCAAAGCAAATTATACAAACATTACAATAGACTTTTTGCTCAAACTATAATATGCGATGAGTTATACTATATTGTACTTTATATGTGAGAAACACAAAATAAATACCATCTTGTTTCCAGAGGGGGCATCTCAAAATGTTAAAATTAATTATTTTTTCCTGTTATGCCTCAGTACTACAAAATGTGACAGATCAAAGGATTTGTTATGAATCATAAACAAAGAAGAGTTATTTTTAAGTAGAGACCAAAGAAAATGACAAGTCAAATCTTTGCTACACAAGTAATGTTCAATGTCATAGTGAAAGCAGCAAACTTTACCATTGACAACATGTACGTACAGAGGAAATTCAAGTTGAAATATACAACTTTGTTGAAATAATAATTGACTGGTGCTATTACAGTACTGTACTCTCATTGATTAGTGTACTGGTCCTTTTTTTGAAATATATAAAAATGCTTTGGAAATTTTAGTCTTGATCTGGGGCCCGTTTTGCAAAAGAACTTACGACTTAGACCAAAATTTGGTTCTGCTTATAACTTTTCTAAATTTTCATTTAATTGGTTTTAATGTTTTTAAAAGGAATATAAAAAGATATTTTTATGCTAGAGATTTTCAACAGACTCACTAATTTTGCAAAGTTTTACAATCAACTGAAGGGTTTGGTCTTAGTCTTTAGTTCTTATGTGAAACGGGCCCCTGAATTTTAGATGTTCAAATGTTCCTTAGTGTTTTGAGTCTGGGGGAATAAGGAAAGATAACTCTTGAAAGTGGACTTTTTATTCCAATTATTTTTTAAATTGGAATTTTGTTATCTTTAAACATTTTTCATTCAATTTGTGACTTGTTATTCATTAAATACATTCCTTATCTATTTATAACTGATTCTCCAAATTATTTTTGCACATATTAAAAAGAATATCACATTACTCTTTTTTTTTTTTTTTTTTTAGAGAAAAATATTTTTTCTAATAAAAATAATATTAAAATATTATGAAGTGTTTCATTTTGTTTACATATTTAAAGATGATATCCATCACTTAACACAGAGATTTCTGCAATTTTATCAATAAGAAACTTGAAATAATTTTTTTTTTACCAAATTCAGAAAAAAGTTAATAAATCCTTAAAAAATATTTATTGTACCTCCATTTGGATTTATGAAATCTTCATAATAAGTAATGCTCTAATAAAATTAGGGAATAACTATCTTCTAATTTGGTATTTGCGACCGTTAATACTGATTTAGGGGTTGCAAACTGAGTTTTAGCGGCAATGCGTAAGCGGAGCCGGTAAAACAGTTGTTTGCGACCATTAAACCAGCATTAACGGTCGCAAATACCAAATTAGAAGATAGTTATTCCCATTCTAATGCAATTTATGCCTTTTGTTTGATGTGAACATCTTATTTTGTTAAGTTTTGTTATATGAAATACATCAAGGAGTGTTGTGTTTTTGCGTTGCTCTATTATGATGTCACAATCGAAAGCTTTCACAATCATTCATGCTCATTTAACTGCCTAATTAATTAAACATCATTTCATTAGCCAATCAAAATTCATTTTACAAAAAAATTGCATTACAATCTAAAATAAACTTTAGGTGTAATGAGCCTCCTTAAAGGAGGTCACTTTTGATCTGTCTCATTTTTCCACAATAATATCCATTTCAATCAAAAAGTGAGTTTTCCCAAGTTTTATGACACTGGAACCTTATGTTGGGTGTGCATTGTGCCAGAGAAAGAAATGATTTAAATACTTGAAGTAAAATATATTTCTTTTCTTTTCAGTTGAACTTCATGATACCTTTGAAACACCTACTTTTATATTTCTTGTATTTGAACTGTAAGTATGGAAGCTTTTTTAAAGTAATATTTTAGTGTTTAATGGTTTTGATTTTTTAGGCCACCTGAATCACTCAGGTGTTCTATTGCTATCTGTTTTTGTCCACATGTGTTGTCAATCATCTGTTAACCATTAACATTTTCAGCTTCTTCTCAGAAACTGTTCAACCAATTACAATCAATGTCTGCATATATCATCTAGGAGTGAAGGGAAAAAATTATGAACTTCATGTACCTTGCCCCCTGGGACATGGGGGATGGAGCTAAAAGCATAAGATCAATAGCATCTTTAAAACTTTTCTTCTTTACTCCTGGACATCAAGCAGTCAAACTGCTGGTACAGTTGTAATAAGCATTGAACCCTCTATTGTGAAATTCATGGCCCCAGGGTTAGGGTTCTGGAGATAGGACAGGGGTGTAATGATCATATTGTGAAAATGCATAAATTCTTTAAAAATCTTCTTTACGCTCTGTATATAAAGCAGATTAACTAGGGGCATGGTTATGATGACCAAGATTTCCTCCTCCAAAACTGTAATATTTGCATGGTCAGGGGTTCCATGGGAGGGGAAATCTATTGATTATTACCCAAAATTGCATTATTTCTCTGACACAAACAGAGTGCATAGTTATGATGAGCAAGGGTTCTTTTTCCAAAATTATGAATTTCATGGCCCCTGGGCAAGGCATTAATTTCTCAAAAATCTTCTCTGCTCCTGGGTATTGAGCAGATAAACTAAGTATGTGGTAATGACGAACAAGGCTGTCTCTTCAAAAATTGTGAAAATTGAAGGGTTCTCCATCATTTCAAATTTAACTGTGGCACAAGACTTACGCGAAGTATTGATATTTGCTGTCATTTTGAGACCGAATTCATGAAAGAATCAAGAAATAAATGAAAAACACACAACCCCATTGAATCAATAATTTAATACACAAATGACATTTATTGTTTGGCAAATTGATTAACAAATTTTTTTTAAATAATAATAATTTTGTTTACAAAAGAAAAAATTATACAATGTTCATTAAAGGACATGCAGAGAAAATTCTAGTAAGTCACACAATCACACTAACATTTACATGTATATATATTTGTAGTTATCAGTCTGAAGACTGAAATATCTTAAAACTTGCGAATTTTAAAAATACTTAAACAGTTTAGAGTCATAAAATAATATTTTGGTGGATCTATTGTTATTTTTTCAACATGATTGCGAAACACGTACAGTGTTTGACTCACAGTGCCAATGCAAGTTTAGAAACTTGGTTATCTGAAGAACTATTAAAGCATGAATTAATATTTAAAAAAAATATCATTTGCAATCATCGTGAAGTGTGAAAAAAATGGCTTAATTGTCTCTTTTCATTTAAGTGTCCAGCGAGGTTTAGAAGATAATTGCTTGTGCAAGCCAAACATTGGGCCCTAATTAGTGTAGATTAACAGTTTATCATTAGAAACTGAAAAGTGGTACATAATTTGGAGGTTTATTTATTTTATAAATTTATATGTCTCTCTTATTGATGATGACGATTCTACTGTGGCACTAATATTCTAACTGTGGCAGAACTATGGCACTGATTTTTGAACTGTGGTGCAGAAAAATTTTACTGTGGCGGGGCCTCCACGTTAAACGGCCCATGGTGCACCCTGTTTGTGTTCCCCAGGGTCAAGGTGTCTGGTCTTAAGGTGGGGCTATATTGAATGTATGGTGAAAATGCATTATTTCTTTGAAAAACCTCTTTTCTGCTCCTAGGTATCTAGGAGGCAAACAGAGTATATATAGCAGGCCTCTAAGTGGCCTCTAAAATTTAGGCGCCAGCTGGCGCCTTATCAAAAAAATTTAGTCCCCAATGGAAATTTTTAGTCACCAGACAATTTTTCTAAAGCGCCAACTTTAAAAGTAAATAGAATATAGAGACCCATGATGTACCTAAGAAAACAAAACATGTTCATTGCTAAAAATAATTTCCTCTTCTTTTAAATTTCCTTTCGCTTCTGTAGAAAAATTGTTAAAAATGTGAAAATTTCTGGAATTAGACAATCGCCAAGTCAGTTTTAAAATGGTCGCCAATTTGGTGACTTATGGAAAAAATTTAGGAGCCAATCAAAAATTTTAGGCACCTTGGCGACTAAATTAGTCGCCAATTAGAGCCCTGTATAGTTTTAACATGCGAGGGTTTTTGCAATTCTGTACCACTTGATCAATTTGTTAATTTGTATTTTACTGAAAGAAGTTATTGTAGCCCAAGCAACAGTCAGTCCATCAGTCCTGTTTTTTGTCAGCGCAACTTCTCTTAAACCGCTGCACAGAATTTCATAAAACTTTGCAGATATTTAGGACATAGTATGTAGTTGTGCATATTGCCATGAAATTCCGATTCTGTCATTTTTTCTTGGAATTTCGACTCTTTTCAACTTAGATTTTTGCCACATCTTAAATATAGAGATGAACAGCTTGTCAGCACAACTCCTCTTAAGGTAAAGATCCATACCATGCTTTGAAAATAACGAAGCTACAGATTTCTGTGAAACTTCTCAAAATTTTAACTAAGTATGTGTCCTTTCCAGATCTGTGTAAATTTTGAGGTCAACCGGACCTCCTTTTGCAAGGACTGTTACTAAAAATAGACATTGCCTCGTGAAATTACAGAAATGCAGTAATTACAGTCCCTGAAACGTTCTACTTTCCCATTTTTCCGTTCGCTCACCGTTCGTTCACCGTTCGTTCAGCGTGCGTTCACCGTTCGTTCACCGTGCGTTCACCGTTCGCTCTCCGTTCACAGTTTTGCGTTCACCGTTCACCGTGCGCTCGCGTTCACCGTTCACAAAGCGTTCAGCGTTCGCTCTTCGTTTCGATCACTTTGCTTTCACCTTGCGTTCAGCGTTCACCTATCGTTCAGTTTTCATTGCCATTCGGAACTCCGAAGTGAAAGGACTTATCTTTTTGTAGTTAAGGAGTTACAGGATTTTTTTTTAATTTATTAACTAACATATCGTGTTTGAAGATTCATTATTTCATGAGGAAAAATATCTACGATATATATTTTTATTATTTTAACTTAGCTGTTAGGTTATTTATTAAATTACTCTTAAAAATAAATGTTGTTACAAGCACATTCTGTACCTATGTAGAACGATGCTGAAATATTAAATTTAACTAAGGGCAATGTGCAAATACTTCAAGCACTGCAACATTTTGTTGTTTTGTTAAAGACGACAAATCATTAATGGAGATATAATTATTCAAGTCAAATAATTACGCAGCAAAATTACGAAAATATTTATTTCTAATACATTTTTTTTCAATTACTACGGAAAATATAAGAGAACTAGTACTAGTTCTGAGAGTTATACATAGTACTGCGGATATCCTGTTAATTTATTATCTTTAGAACGAATTAAATTGATAGTGTGGTTAAAGGAAATATTTATTTAAAATATAATGCACTACAGAATTTCTCTACTGTAATATGTAAAGTATATAGTTATAGAGAAAAAAAAACTTTCTTCACCGTAACTTAATATGTTTGCTAATCGATATGATTAATACCCCCCCTTCCCCCTAAATCGGTGATTTAGTCAGTACCATATTTCCAGAATGTTTTAATTAACATTTAAAAAAAGCTACGGTCTTTTTTAGAAAAAAAATTTCAGTCTCAAAACAAACATGCATCTAAAAAAGTCACAAAACAATAGTAGATCAAAATGTACATGTGTCGGCGGTGGTATTTGAAATTGGCAGAGAGTATGTTTCACATTCAAGTGTTAATGCCTAATGTATTTTACTAATTTATTATTCAAATGTTGGAATCAAATCTAGAAATGATAAAAATAAATGTTATAACTTGTTGGAAATACTCGCACTTGGTCTTCGATGTGACGAAACTTTCACACCTGCACAGTGTCGAATGATTTTGATTGACAGGACAAGCACGTGGACTTCGTGTGAACTTGAAGCAGGAAAATGAAAAACAAGTATGACTGTCAAACAAATGGATATGATTTGTTGATAAAAAAAAAAAGTTACTTTCACTGTCTGATATATTTAGAAAAAAATTTCCGAGTTTTTGTTTGATATAGGTACAAACATTTGGTGAAGCCTGAAATGAGGGGGGGCTAAAACTGAATATTTCTCTCTCTCTCTCTCTCTCTCTCATTTGTCTGTTTAATAAAAACTATAACACCATATTACTTAAATATCAAGTTCTGAAAATTGAATTTATAACAAATAATATGAATATGTATTTTTGTATCATCATGATCTTGTTCGAGTATAATCACGGCCATCTAGAGATGCATGTAGACGTCTGCTCAATAAATCATAATGAAAAATAGAAATGACACATAATATATTATTGTTTTAAATATTTAAAATACGAGCGTATAAATGTAATTAATTTTTTTTTTCATTACTTTACACGAAATCGCCTTGACACGGAGATATATATATATATATATATATATATATATATATATATGAATATAAGTTACAACTGCTTTAATTCATTCTTTAAATCATAAGATTTCTCTGATTTGTTATCAACTAAGAATAAACATTTTTATTTTCCAACTAAAAACAATATCTTTTATACTTCAGCGTTCGGCAACAATTGCAATGTTTTAATGCGATAAAAATCGTGTGATTAAAAACTTAATGTGCATGCATCGTCTTTCTGAGGACAATTTTGGAGAATTTATTTTATTGACTTAATTATTCATTCATTTATTTGTTTACTTATTTATTATTATTATTATTTTTTTTTTTTTTGGCACCTGACATTATAAAACAATAAAATAGTTTCAATGCAAGGAAAAGATCAGAGGCATTCCGAATATATCGTTCATCTTGCGTTCACCGTTCGTTCACCGTTCACTTTGCGTTCACGTTTGCGCTCCGTTAGCGTTCTGCGTTCGCTCACCGTTCACACATTGTTCACCAAGTTGCGTTCAGCGTTCACACATCGTTCACTCACCGTTCGCTCTGCGTTCGTTCAGCGTTCGCTCACCGTTCAAGTGGGAAAGTAGAACGTTTCAGGGACCGTAAGATATTTATGCTAGCTTTTTAAAATTAAATGTAAATGAAAAACTTAAACATATGAATTATAGAGAAGATATGCTTGTTTAACGGTTTTATTAATTTTTTAATCTGCTGATCCACTTTATTGTACTTTTTATGGCGAATTAAACATATTTATCTCAAAATTATGAAATTTCTGTTTGATATTCTGAGGACAAATTTCTTTTAAAAAATAGTATGTTATTTTCCAATGACCTTTCCATTATGTGGCATAAAAATTAAGTGGGGAAGCGGACATCTAACAAGAAAATTTTACATTTTTAAACCGAATTTCCTGAAAAGTGATTATTTGAAAAATCTTTCTAATATCCATACTTTTAGGATTTTGTTGTAAAAATCATTTTGATTATTAAAATTATCATTAATAAAACAGTAATAAGTATGGTGTAAATTAATTGTTTTCTGTTTAATGCACAGATGGCCAGGCATTAGTTTTCAAGGGTCACAAGCATAATAGTCATCGGGTTCAATGTTCAGAATATTCTTTAAACTGTTATTGCGCATGCGCGAACTTACATTATGTTTCGTGTGGTGACAGAAATGGGGGATCATTTATGATTAATTGATTAAAAAAATGGAGAAGTGGCATGTTTTACTACTTCTTGTCTCTATGTAATACATTTTTCGATATTCATAGATACAAATAAGTGGTTTGTCTGCCACATCTTTTTAACGTCTGGTTTCATCACAAGAACAGTTCGGGTTCGTCTTAGGTACACGTTGTTTATCATGTTTTTATCCATACAAATAGATAAAGTCTATGTAAGCGGAGATGAATATGTCCAGTGTTTCCACTTTGCATTGTATTTTTGTTTAAAACACCTTGTTTATAGGCGATCGCGAGCTTGGAAGGCCGAAATCCTACTTTTAAGCTAGGGACATTGAATGATCGAGATTTTCCTTACATAACTCAATCTACTTGATACAATCTTAACACCAAGCTCCATGGTTGGTGACTAGAATGACATTGTGAGCATAATTACTAAAACTTTGTCATTTAATAAAATATGAACACATTCAGTGGTGACATCTTTAATAAAGCTGGTCGTAATTTTACACAAAAACTAATGTTTCAAAATAATAGGATAGACTGTGTATATAGGTACAAATATCTTGGAGTCCACCTAACTGCATCTGGAAGTTTTCATGTAGCAAGATCAGAGCTTTATAAAAAGGCATTAAAAGCATATCATAAATTGAGAAATGATTTTATTAATTTGAATCCTGGGATTAAAACGAGTATACATATATTTGACTCTACTATTAAACCAATTCTTTTGTATAATGCAGAGGTGTGGGGTGCAAGTAATATCAATACTAAAAGATTCCTAAAATGCCAAAAGTTAGAAGTTGAAGACTGTTTCAGAAATCTGCTTTGTGAAAGAATACACCTTAAATTCTGTAAATATATTCTTGGCGTTCATAAGAAAAGTACAAATTTTGCAGTATTGTCTGAAGTGGGAAGGTTCCCCCTGCATTATGATATTGTCAAATTGTTAATCAAAAGTTGGTATTGATTTGAAAATTTGTCCACAGAATTTCCTTTACTTAAAGATGCATATGAATGTAGTAAAAAACTTTTTGTACATGGCAAGAACTCATGGTTCGCATTTATACAGAAATTAAGAAATATACTGAATATCAAAGATGAAGTAGTTTGTTATGGGAAGCATAAATTTAAGTCACTCTGTCATAAAACCTTATTAGATTATTATGTAAAAAATTGGTATATAAGTCAACAAAGTTATACCGATGGTAAATTAAGCACATATAACAGGGTATTATTTTAACTCGGAGTAATTATTTCATTCGGAATATAAAGAATTGAAAAAAATTAGCAACTAAGTCTCCTTACATGTACTTGTAGCTCAAAAGAAAAAAATATGATGCCTTAATTCTCTGCATTTTGTGTGTAATACAGTATTGAGTAAAGATTTTGTTTATCTCTCTATAAATAATTTATTTCTTGTAATTATTTTTTCTTTTTATTTGTTTGTTTGTTTATTGTTGTGTTTGTTTATTTATTTGTGTAAACAAGGTTGCTTGTAATGGCAGGGGTTAGATGAAAATTTTATGGGGTTAGTTGGCGCATGCCTAAAGGGGTTAGTCGCCGCTGAGCGGCGACTAACCCCTTTGAGCATGCGCCGGTTGAGATAGGTAAAAATCCTGTAGTTAATCCATATACATTGTGTATTCAGTCTGTATTGTTAATCAGTCCATGCGATGTACAAATTAAACGGTAATTAACACGGTAGAAGTATTTGTACTGTCATGCTGCGCTTAAAAATCCCAAGTATTCCGTTCTACAAGTATCCATGAATGAACCTATACATGCCGATATTCTAAAGAAATAACTCGCAGAGAACGAAAATACATACCAATGCATATTCATTACGATAACCGAAAACACTAACAAGTATTTTTACAGTCGTAACAACGATTAAATCCAACAAATAACCAGAGAAATGCGACGATGTAATTGTAAACGCTGCCAATACACTGCAGACAACTCCTGTTCGACGTCACTTTTCAAAGTGCGACGTCACACGTTCACTGTTTTCCCGAACTTTCTGTGTCAAAATGGCGAATAGGCATTGTATGTAATATAAGGTATTCTGTCATCGTAGTACAACACACAAACTTTATTCCTTTAGATTAAAGTTTTCCTTTACTTAGGTAATCAAATAGCAGAAGAGGAGACGAAAGTGGGGAGTATTTAGTACAGAAAACAGGTTACAAAAATTTGAAGATCCATGATCCGCCCACTTGTTTGACATCAGCTAAGAGGTGCATATTTAGTGTGCAAATCTCGAGTTTCAAAGTCGATGTGACGTCACACTCACAACCATAAATATGTAGGCTTACGGGGAACAGACTGTGCTGAACATTGCTTGTATTATTAGAAAGAAGATAAATACCATTTTGAAATTAATTTAAAAAAGAAGAAAAATCGACAATAATTACATTTTAACCTTAAGAGACGAGATCAGTTGATTTTGAAAGGGGAGGGGGTGGTGGCAGATTCTGAAAAATCTGACCGTTTTTTGCCTCCTCCCAAACATACATGAAATAAAGTTTTATTTGAGAGGTTAATTTTCTTTTCTTAACTTAAAATTGATTATCTGTCCCTGGACATGTTCGAAATGAATACCCCCCCCCCCCGCTCCGTCAGAATCAAATGGTCGTCTACTTAGTCGCAAATTATTTTTTAAAATCATCCCTGAAAAAAAAGACATGGAATATCTCAATAATCAAAAAAAAAAAAAAAAATTATATCATATTTGACATTATTTACATAGTCTTTCCATTTCCAAGCCTTATACCCCACCCCACCCCCCTTTTCAATCATTTTCAATTCAGTGATGGTTTTTATTACACGGAAGCAATAATATCATAAAGCACATATGAAATATTTTGATTTTATTATTTATTTATTAAAATCAGACCCGCCCTGCAGGAACTATCCAAAACAAGAGTGTAGTGACTACTGGCTATTGCCGATAAGAAACAATTACCAATTCTTGCAGAACATTGGAAGGCTCGATTCAGTGTAATAAAAAAAAATGTGGCAGGGGCCATGCCACCCCAACACCCAATAATTTTGCCAGTATGCTTTATACTATAGAAAAATAGCTATTTGATGCTTGTACCTCTATAAAAAAAAAAGGCGTCTGATCGATTTTTTAAAAAAAAATTGTGCTTGTCAAGGAATTTTGGTAGTCCCCTCCCCCCCCCCCCCCCCACTGAAATTGCTTCCTACGGGCCTGAAAATTAGGGATAGCCCAGATTAATTTATGGATGTACATACAAGTATATTACTGTATATGTTTAGATTACGGTTAAGCAGGAAAAAAAACAGAGTCTTTGTTCTAAATACACTTCAAAAAGCATAAGTAATTTATACATTGCACGTGATTGAAAATTTTACCTACTACGGTTCAAATTTAAGTTAGGCCTAGGTGAAATATTAGAGTTTCGCAGACAGGCAACTAAATGTAATAGAAAGAAACACAGACAGAACAAAAAATATACTGTATATGGTATATATGCGACCGATTTTTGTAATCCTCTACCAAATTCTGTGTTTCGTGGTCATTTTAAAACAATATAATTTTTTTTTTAACATTTAATCACCATACATGCAAAATTTATATCCTGTAATTGTGTAAAATTTAATGACTCTCATTGAATTACATGTATAAAATATAAAATTTAAAAAAAATTCGCTAATACTTATGTAAGACCCCCCCCCCCCCCCCCCATGTTCAATGTGTTTTTTTTTTTGGTTTAAATTGGAGCAATTATAACATTTCTTGCAAACATTAGATGTCTTCAAGCCAATAATATATTATTTCATTGTCAAATCCAATAGAAGATTTGGGTTGTTGTGCATTTAGCTTATAGAATAATTTTATAATTGAACGATTTATGAGATGTTCAACACTTTTTTTCTTAAAACTTGGTGGCAGCAGGGATCGACATTAACGGTTGTCCGATTGCCCGGGACAAGTAAATTCTCAGTTCGGGCAAGTGAAATTGTCGACGTACTTGTCCGATCGGGCAAGTGAATTTTTGTCATACAAATGTACATATTTATTTATTTTAGATTAATTTATAAATAAAATAATAAACTGAACACTTAATTTCCGCCACGAACCTGACTGACAATGTTTTTGCATTCGGAATTCCTTGGTAGCGTTTCTGGATTATACCACACATTTAAAAATCGGGTTCATTATTTTCCTTCGTAGTACGTCTAACAAAGGGATCCTACCAAAAATAATTTTTAAAAATATGAATTTTATTAAAAGGAAACGGAGGGTTATTGTTGCATGGCAGTATGTGTTAACAGATTAAATTTACAAGCACAGTGGTATTCATTTATGTACAAATGTAGCATGCATCGATATTTTTTCCAGATTGACAGTATGCCAGTAGTGTATTTGGTTACATTTTTCGTATCAGAACGTTTACAGTAATTAATAATTTTCTTTTTATGTTCTTTCCTTATTTTGGGCAACCAAGTTTGCATTCGGACAAGTCAAAGTTTGAGATCACTTGCCCGAAGGGCAAGTGAATCTGAAAGTTAATGTCGATCCCTGGGCAGGTGGGCAATATTAATATATAGGCATATACCGGTACATGG